ATTTTTCTGGAAGAATCCCCACTGGACAATTTTTTCCCATTCAATTCACTCATTCTTCTAGAAAAGAGGTAGGTTTTCTGTCCTACCTCCTTATGTGCTCTCCGTGGTCTCTCAGGTAAAACCACATGGTACCCCATGATGGATACCTGCTGTCTTGGGGAAGAGACACTTCCCTCATATTCCTGGAATTGGCGAATCATCTCACCCACTGTCAGTGTCTCATCCTCTTTCCAAGTCACTATTGCAAGCACACTGGAATGCAAGGATGGCGCACTCCGCATTAATTTCCACCACATGGGTCATGTGCAGTGAACTTTGGATCTGTGGGTGCTCGTGTATTGTTCAGGTCACGACAAACTCTCTCACGCAGCTGGTTCCCTCAGGTACTGGATAACTTTCTCCATGGTGGTCTGTTTGCGTGGCTGATGTGGCACACTTTCCTTAAGAGGATACCTTTCCTTCACACGTGTCAGGAGTCAGCTCCAGGGGCTTACATTTTGTGTCCTTCTTCCAATCGCTTTGTCAATGCCCCATTCTCCAGCAAGTGACCCCAACTGCTTGGCTTCTCTGCCCTCTAAGTCCATGCTACTGGCCCTGTTATCCCCACAGCGGAGCAGCCAGGTGATGTGTTCACCTGGACAACAGCTGAAGTCTCTGTGGATATCTCGTAGCTCCCGCAGGGATAAAGATCAAGTGGTTACTACTGCTTCATCCTCTGTCTCTGACTTTTGGATGGCCCTGCTCCTGTCTCCTTCTCATTTGTCTCTGTCTCTTGGGATGGTCCTGCTATCTCGTCATCCTCGACCAGACACACTCTCTTATGTTATTTCTACTCCCAGTTTGAGAATCATTGAGTGGTGCCAATTTCTATTTTGGAGTATCCGCTGAGAAGTTGCAGTTAGCCCTGTGGTCCAAGAGCTATGCAAACCTTCAGCCCTTTTACAGTAGGTCTTCTCACTGCCCAGATATGTTTGTCTTCCTCCTCTCAGAGTGGTGCATCTCTTCCTGTGTTGCTGAAGGTATCTGTGGACAGTGGTATGGAGGTAGTACTTGAGAATTTCTGTGCTGATTGATGTGTTTTGACCCAAATAATTCCGTGAGTCAAGATGACCACTTTTTGCACATTATTTTACTGGGTTTTAATGTTCAGCTCTTCCATCTATTCTTTCTAGAAGAGTTCTGTTCTTGTCCTGTTCTAGGAAAGACTTGTAGTGGTGCTAAGTTTAAGTATTGCTGCTAAGTGTAAGTATTGCTGCAAGCAATTTAAACACAGTCAATTTTTGTTTTCTGGGTTTTTTTTCTGATCATCAGGCAAAAGCAGTTCTCAAATTCATTGAAGCCATTTCTGAGAAGACTCTACGGTGCACTGTGGCATTAACAGCAGCCAGGGGACGTGGTAAATCTGCGGCTTTGGGACTTGCTATTGCTGGAGCAGTAGCTTTTGGGTGAGTGTACCCCCTGCCAATCTCCCAGGCTTTATTTGTATCCATGAGTTTAAAAAAAAAAAAATACAGGATCTGAATATAGTTGTAATTTCCAGTCCTACATCCCTCCTTTTAATTCTTACATCTTTTGATTGCTGCATACACTGATACTCAAGGTTTTCTATTTTACAGTAATAAGAAAACCTCAGTCTCTAAAAATCAAAATGATCACACATTAATTGAGATAAATGTCTAAAGGAACCCGCTGTATTTTGGCTGTGAGGTAAAATCAACCTCTCACAGAAAGAAAACGTTCTACTTAGTATGTATTTGTAGAATTTGTTAGAAAAAGAGTTAAAATTTTGTTTCATTTGTCTGTGCAGTTACTCCAATATCTTTGTCACATCTCCAAGCCCTGATAACCTTCACACTCTCTTTGAGTTCATATTTAAAGGCTTTGATGCACTGCAGTACCAGGTAAGGAGGGCAGACTATTTTACTGTACTTCTGCAACGTTCCTGTTTAGGAAGGGTTTAGCATCTCATCTCTGATTCTTGTTTACGTATATTAGCTACCAGCCTTTTTAGTTATGTTCTGTGAAAATGAATCGCAGTAGAGTTATGTTTCCTTCTCTGTTTTTAAGTTGGATAAATGAAAAGAGTTTTTAACATAAGTAAATAATTTTTCCATTCTTAGGCCTCTGAAGCTTTTGTTATGAGACTTTCTATTTAGAGTCTGAAATAACCATGCTCTTAAGTGAGCTTATTTTGACGCTAATGATAAACATTATTTTTTCTTAGGTCTTGGCTTGTTCATACTGTTAACAATGTTTTGTTTCAGGAACACCTGGACTATGAGATTGTTCAGTCTTTAAATCCAGAGTTTAACAAGGCTGTTGTCAGAGTGAATGTGTTCAAGGAGCACAGACAGACCATTCAGGTAACTGGCCAGTTTTGCACTCTTGCCTTTCTGCTTTTTCTTCCCAGCTGTTGGCTTTACCTATGCTGTAGTTATTTTGATTATAAGGATGTTCTTTTTATGTGATGTGTAACTGTCCTGATTGATTTTGCTATATGGCAGACCTTTTTTTTTCTGGTGAGTGACTTTCACAAAGTATCTTATTTCTTTCTGTGAATAACTTGTAGATTACAAAGCTCTTTTGGTAATTGCTTGTGGGTTTCTTCTTGAAACAAAAGCAAAGGAAGGTGAAAGAAACAGTGGAGAAGAGCCTATGTTTCTAGTGGTTAGATTTCCTTTATTTTCATGATCTCTGCAGTCAGTTTGTGTGGAAATGTGCAAAAGGTGTGTGACCCAGTCCTTGTTAGGGTAATGGGAACCCTCTCCTGACTCTTTGTTCTCATCTCAGTCTCTGGCTTGATGGTTATGGAGAACGGGGGCAACAAACAGCTTTTCAGGGCTCCAGCTTTGCCAATTTTGACATTTCCCTAATGCCCAGACAAGCTCTGGTTGACAATGATGGTGCCATCTCCTTCCTTGCAGTATATACACCCCGCGGATTCCGTGAAACTGGGTCAAGCTGAACTTGTTGTGATTGATGAAGCTGCTGCCATTCCTCTACCCCTGGTGAAAAACCTGCTGGGCCCTTACCTGGTTTTCATGGCTTCTACAATCAACGGGTAAGGCTTGAGCAGCAACTCTTTGCCTGGGAAAGCAGCTGTGCAAGTGGCCTATTTCTTATCTACAGTACTTTCTTTATTACACACTATTATATCAGGTCATGCTAATTCTTGATCTGCCATGGAACTGCTCCTTAAAATAAGCAGGAGTCAGTACTTGCTGCTTTCCTTTGCTTCTGCTGTGAATTCATGAATTGTTTGACTTGCACCTCTTCTGTTCTGACACATGGACCAAATATATAGACAGGATTCCGCAGCCTGTTAGGAGAAAAGGAAGGATGACATCTTGGTGAGACAAAGTGACAGGGTAGACTGTCACTATGTGCCCAAAAACATCAGAAGGCAGTGATTCTCACGGGTGATTAGGGCCCTCACAGGCCTCCGAATGGCACATAGCTCTGCATGGCAGCCTAGTCCTGTGCTGAGCGTCCCCATGGCTCAGGATTCCTGTTTGGATTTTTGCTTCAGATTTTTGTCTGCTGCTTTTCAGGTATGAGGGTACTGGTCGATCACTGTCTCTGAAGCTCATTCAGCAGCTCCGTCAGCAGAGTGCCCAAGCCCAAGTCACCATGACAGCAGAGAACAAATCTACAGCTACAGCTAAACTCAGCTCAGGTACTCCACTGTTTTCTGGACTGTGGTGTGTAACCACGATCTCCGGTGCTGCTGACTGGCAAACCCTGTGGGTATCCCATATGTCTGTGTACTTTGCAGCTGTAGGAGGGTGGTGGTGTGGGAAAATGAAGGAACTCTCCTGTTTCTTCCTCGTGATTTTCAGATGTAAAGTCTTTTAAGGGATGAAAGCCATGCCACTAATGTTTTTCTGATCTCCTGGGGGCCCTTCAAAGGACATTGATCCTATTGGATTCTTTGCTAGCAGTAATTTCCAACACCAGATGTTCTCTGAAATCTGTTTGCAGCTCGTACATTGCATGAAGTCTCTCTCCATGAGTCAATCAGATATGCCCCTGGTGACCCGGTTGAAAAGTGGCTGAATGATCTGCTGTGTTTGGATTGTCTCAACATCACCAGAATTATCTCCGGCTGCCCGCTGCCTGAGACTTGTGACCTGTATCCTTACTCAGATATTGTGCTCTGATCAAAATATGTTGCTTTTGTGTGAATGAGGCTTTTTCAAGAGGGTTAATAGTGGGTTTTCCAGCTAATGTGATAACCTCAGTTTGTGATCTTTTGGCCAAAGTCTATTAAACAGACCACAGTTCTGGAGTTAACCACTGCCTTAGAAGACCAGTGGTGAGTGTTAGCAGGAGATTACCAAACTCCAGTTTTACGGCAGAGACAATCCTAAGGAAGGGCTGAATGAAGGGAATTCCTTGCTGGAGTTGTAAAAGGTTTAATTTTACAGATGAAGGGTGTGAAAGCTATTAACACTGCCCTAAGTCATTTGTTCTTGTAGATAAAGCTCTAGAGTCTAAGAGCACAAGCCAGCATGTAGCCCAAGGCTGTACTGAAAATATTACTCCTAAACCAACAAGGAGCTTTTTCCTCATTTCCAGTGAGTTGGTTTCCTTAGCCCCTGTGTGTAGATATTACGTAAATAGGGACACACTTTTTTGTTACCACAGGGCATCGGAAGTTTTTCTGCAGCGACTTATGGCCCTCTATGTGGCTTCACACTACAAGGTAAAGCTTGTGCAGCTTCTATCGAAACTTCAGCTAGGAATTTTGTGGAAGGAGCAGTGCTTGTTATGACAGTCTAACTGAGTTGGCCTAAGTCAGGTTTCTGAACAGCTTCAGTTGTTTTTTGTATATGGATCCATATTCTCCTTTCTCTGGGAAGATCTCAGATGCGGTCTTGGCAGGACATACTGGATTTACAGATACCCAGAATATTTTTGTCTTGAGAAATTCTGAAGACTAAATTCTAGATGAGCCTACAAGTTTGTCAGAATAGTATCGGTGATGAACCTCTTTTGCAGTTCTCTTTACCATATTCTAGTAGACTCAAGTTAACCAAAAGAGGAGTACCATTGTACTATAGAAAAGAGTAGTAATTCATCTCGAGGTTTCAAGACCAGGAATGAGTAGTAAATGTGAATGGTGAAGTCCTTAAGTACTGAAGTACTGAGTCCTAAAAACCTGACACTTGAAAAAAAAGTACTATTTAAGGTTTGGTAGATTAAGAGATAAGTAACTAGGTAAAAACAAAAAGTTCAGTTCCATACGTATTAGACTAAGAGGTTTCACTTGAGAAAAACAGTTGCTGTCTGGTAGTATAACAGCCATGAACTGGCCTCTGAGCTTCTTTGTCAGTATTGTACTAGTTCTCAGTTTCTTAGTAGCCCTAAATTCGGAAAACAGAGGATTGTTTAGAAGTCAGCTACATTACACTGGACTTTGAAGCTCTTCTCATGGAATAGTTCTTAATTTCTGGTATGTCTTTACCTTCCAGAACTCACCCAATGACCTCCAGATGCTATCTGATGCACCCGCCCATCATCTTTTTTGCCTTTTGCCGCCTGTTCCACCTACCCAGAATTCGTTACCAGAAGTACTTGCTGTTGTTCAGGTGAGAGGGCAGCGTGTATCTGTGAAGGGAACTGTTCAACAATGAACTGGTACACTGCTGTGAGACAGTGTACTGTCCGTGTACTATGACAACAGTCTGCTACCTAGGAGGAGATGGTAGCTTAGGGCCATGGTTTTATGTGTATTATGGTGTATTAAAAGGCCATTTTTTCTCTTCCACTTTCTTTCATTATCACTAATTGCTGTGTAAGTACACTGTGATGCTGATCCTTTCACACAGACCTCACAGTCTCCACACTGTGTTTGTGCTGAGAAGCCTTCTGAGTAGCTGAACTACTGCTTCAAGCGATGACTTTGTCCTCCCATTTCAGCTTCCTGAGAGTTGGTTCACTGGTTCAACCTGCTTATCCCATTTTTCTAGCAGTAGAACTGAAAAAATATAAACTCCACAGACGTACGCGCTTAGAGATGTAGAAATACTTCAGCCCTTGACTCCTGGGTATCTGCAAACTCCACAGATGTACGCGCTTATGTAGATGTAGATGTAGAAATATTTCAGCCCTTGACTCCTGGGTATCTGACTTGTCGTGGTTTAGTCACAGCCAGCAACCAAGTACCACCCAGCTGCTTGCTCACCTCCCCACTCCTCCAGTGGAGGAGGAGAATCAGAGGAAAGGACAAGGCAGCTCATACAAGACTGATATAAGAACAATTTAATAATTGAATACAAGTGAATAGAATAGTGATACTGATAATACTAACAATACTAATAGTACTATTAATATGTAATGAAAATAATACTACCACTACTACTACTACTACTACTACTAATCTCTAATGAAAATAATGGAAAATAAAACAAATGATACAACTGCTAAGCACCTGCTGACTGATGCCCAGCCAGCTCCTAAGCAGCGAGAGCCAGAGCCTTAGAGAGATTGCATTAGAGGCAGAGCAAGCCCCATGAGTGAGGGCATGGCTGAGAAAGCCAGCCAACCAACCTGGCTCCCAGCCACCCCCAATTTACGCACTGAGCATGAAGTTTTGTGAAATGAAATACCCCTTTGGCTAGTTTGGGTCAGCTGTTCTGACTGGATCCCCTCCCAGGCTCTTGCAGTGAAAAAGTTGGGAACACAGGCGCAGTATAAAAAGCTGAGAAAGTCCTTGACTTGGTACAAACACTCCTCAGCATCAACTAAAAACACCAGCATTAATACACTTCTCAGCACAGCCTCATACTTGCTGCTGTGAAGAAAATTAACTCCGTCCCAAGTAAAACCAGCACGTATGCTTCCTTCTTTTCTTCCTTTCTTCCTCAAGAACACAGATTCTTAATTATCTGTGTTCAATGCAGAACATTAGTTAAATCTACTGTTTCTTAAAAGAAAAAGCCCCATTTACATGAAAAATAGTTGACTTTTCGAGAAAAATATTGGTGGGACAAGCTTTTATGTTTGCTGTTGATGGACTACGGAATGCATTAGAGCACTTTCTATGCTTGAATCTCTTCTGGCTTCTGTTGGCCCACGGTGTAACGCCTGCTGCGTCACGTGGACCTGACCGGCCCGCTGCTGTGCTTTGTGAGACAGGGCTTTCCAGGGCAGAGCCGGTTTGTAGGCACATGCCTGTCGGCTCATCATGTCGCCGAGTAGGGATCACATGAAATGTCAGTACTGCATAATGGACTCAGCAACCGTGTCGATTTGGGTCTGCTGTAGGGATGTGAGTGTAGGAAAAACACTTTCTCTCCAGTAATGGCCTTACCTTTTCCGGCAGGTGTGCATGGAGGGCGAGATCTCCCGCCAGTCTATCATGAACAGCCTTTCTAGGGGAAAGAAGGCTTCTGGTGACCTTATTCCCTGGACCATTTCAGAGCAGGTAAATGTTTTTTTTGTGAACTCACACCCAAGATACATACCAACGCTCTTTCTTATTTCCAGAGTACCCACCTGTGTTCTTTAAACTGACTTTTGTCTCTTACACAGTTCCAAGATCCAGACTTCGGGGGCCTCTCTGGGGGGCGTATTGTTCGCATCGCAGTTCATCCGGATTATCAGGGGGTAAAGTACCTTGGAACCCAGTTATCGTGAATAGTCAGCAGTGGTGCCATGAGAATGGCTCTGCGGGCAGAATTCAAGAACAGGGCAAACATTTCAATTGCTCCAGTTTTCAGCGGTTTAAGCTTGGGGGTTGAGCCTGAGGTAGTACCAGAATGAGGTCAGATGCAGCAGAATGGTCAGGTGCTGCAGCAAGCTGGGCAGCATTGCTGTCCTCTGGGTGGGTAGCAAACCAGTCTGTACTGGGCAGCACTGTAGCATGCCAGTATACAGATATTTATTGAGAGATTACACAACATTGTGCCTTTTTCTGAGTGCCAGAGTTAAGCACCAAGAATTACTGCACCCTCCTAACCTGCAGACTGGGCTGTCATGGTGATCTCAGACATCCAGGTTCTGTAGGGTCTCTCTCCGTGGAGCTGCTAGGTAGCAAAGAAAACGCGTTTTTGCAGTGACTGTGCATTACTGGCGTGGTAAGGGGAGAACGTTGGTGCCCTGTCTTAAAAACCAGATACATCTTTCTGCTTCTAAGTGTGTTGTTCCTACTTCACAGATGGGCTACGGCAGCAGAGCTCTGACTTTACTGCAGATGTACTATGAAGGCAAATTCCCGTGTTTGGATGAAAAAACAGTTCAAAAGCCAAAAGAAATTGTAACTGTAAGCAGCGAGGTAAGGAGCTTAGTACATTTGTTTGCATTTTCTGTTGTGCTGCGCTGGGGTTTTTCTGACTGTAAGTCTCAATAATGGTTTCTCTCTGTAGGAGGAAGTACTCATTTTTATTTTTTATACAGAATAAGAGATGTCATTTGCAGATTTCTGTGAGGATTGCTACTAACCCATTTCCACTTTATTTTTCAGACTGTTAGTTTATTAGAGGAGGTTGTGACACCTCGGAAAGACTTGCCTCCTTTACTTCTCAAACTGAGCGAGAGACAAGCTGAAAACCTAGACTATCTGGGGGTATCTTACGGCCTGACACCAAGACTACTCAAGTAAGACATTATTCTTTTTGCTAGTTACATCCAGTGCAAAAATATAACTGTATAAATTATATATTATAGTAAGTATTAATTAACATAAATAATATATGTGTAGATATAGATGCAGCTATTTTAGCCCTTAGATATTTTTTTTATCTCTGTATGTTTCACTAGGTTTCTAAAACTAGAACACACCCAAGCCCACTTTTCCTGTAAGATCTTTTTTTGATGTACAGCATGGCTGATCCCTAAGTGCATCCTTTCGGGTAGTTTTGCCTCAGACTCCTTCTGAGAGCAAGCCCATTCCCTTCTTGGTTGTCTCTGTGACCCTCTGAAACAGTTAACTAGCTTTAATTGCTCAGTTTCTCCAGGCTAGAGAACTAAGAACAGCTTGTACTAAGTAGGGAGAAGTTAAAGGCTGCTTCCTATGACCTGCAGAAGCTTGAGCTGCTGCTGACTTAGAAGCTACTTGTTCATTTCCTGACTGATGTAAATGCTTCTCACCAGCAACGGCAGTTGCTTCTTGCTTTTCTCACCATGGAGGAACTGAGTTACTGCAGCAGTAAATAATTTATTAATTTTTCTTAACTTCTATCTCCACTTTACAGCATGGTTTTATATAAAAACATACGGTTTTGTAGTAACTGCAAACTTCTTTAATATTATCAAATTCTGTAAAATACCTAGGTTTCTGAGACTTTCTCAGCCACAGTGTGGGAAGCTATGAATCCATAGTTTGGGAGACAGTTTCAGAATAATGCAGAATTCTTCCTATTGCTAGCCTAAAAGCAAAGCAGTCATTTATCACCTAAAACCTTGGTTCCTTGTCGGCCTACCCCCTAGAAGACCTAGGGTGCTGTACAAGCACACAAGACTCGGATCAGGAGAAGGAGAGGTGGTGCCAAGAGGTCGTTTGTGCCTGACCCCTTCAGAACAATGTCAGACAGCTGTGTGTGATTTGGCATTTCAGATACACAGGCTGTAGGCTGTTTTGTTCTGTGGCAAGCACGCTGCAAAGCTCATGCCAAAATGTGATGGTGAATTGTTTAACAGGTCAGGAGACCGTCAGAACTGAATGGTTATTGATGATCTCAGTCTTTGCAAATTATAAAGCAAATGGTTCAGATGTCTTACTTTATTTGAACGATCCCTCTGGGGGCAGAGGGGGGAGAATAAAGTGTTTCACTACTTCATTTTTAATAACTTGTTAGCTGTGGTGGGATAGAGAAAAGAAGGATGAATAATGGGGTGGGGAGAGGCTGGGATACACATGTAGGGCTATTCCAACCTCCTCCCCAGCCGATGAATAGCCGTCCCATGGCCTGTGGATGCTCTGGGGCCTGGCTTCTTTCTTTTGTCTGGGATGCCATATGTTTGGTCTCAGCAGGTCTTTTTATACTAGACCTCCTTTTACTGGGCAAAACGATCAGTTCACAGCAAGATGCAAGAAGGAACAGGAGGGTGGAAAGGGATGTCAGCAGGATTTTGGTGATCAGTCTGGGATTCTGTCTGGTCCACAAGTGACTATCTTTCCCTGGAAGTTGCCAGGGAAAATCACTGAAGAAGAGCAAAGTCTCTGAAGGAAAATGTAAACCCTCAGCCACTCCCCAGGGTATCCCTTAGGAGTCTGTGGTATTATTGGTCAAAACCTGTTTGCCTATTTTTAAAGGAGGTCCTGGAAGCATGTCAAATACAATAACTCCTGTATCCTGTCTCTCAGTCTTTGAAAGTTTGCTAATGTTTTGATATCACTGTCATTGTCTTCCACTCTTGTATGTTCGAATCTCAGTCATTTTGATTGCCGTTATTACTTTCTGTCAGTGTTCATTTTCATTAGTTGGTGGGGTATGGAGTTTTGCTTACTTTTCAACAGTTACTGTTGTACAGCAGATAGACTGCACTTAACCAGAGTTACTAGTGTAGAATCAACAGCTGCGTAGTTGTCAGTGCATTCCCTCTTTTCCCTTTCCCCAGGTTTTGGAAACGTGCTGGATTTGTGCCAGTTTATCTGAGGCAGACACCAGTAAGTAGCATCCTGTTTCTGAATGAAATCCAGTCCTATTGAAATCACTGGGCATCTTTCCATCAGCTTCTGTGAGATGTGATTTGTGCAGGAAAGGTTTTCTGAGACTCCATTTGGGTTTTGGTTTTTGTTCATTTGTTTTCTTTGGGCCTATAGTTAGCTAAATGAGTAAAGTTTTAGGGTTGTGAAGTGGTCTTCTAAGTAGTTTGCACTTAAAACTTAGAGCAAAGGTGCAGCTGTTGAGGATTATTAACGTGGTCATTGGTAAAATAAGAAAGTGGCCCTTGAACTGACTGCTCTTGTTTTTCAAGGTGTTTACAAAAAAAAATAGCACTGGCAGATACAGTACTTCTGGAGACAATAATTGGTTTGTTCCACGTCACTGCATTTTTCTTTTGGTTTTCTGGCTCTTGAGCTGTATCTGGAATTTGCAGCATTGGTGACTATTGGTTATCTCAAGAAGCCAGAATCCTTCAGCACTGGGACTTACCAAATTCTAGAAGTTCATAGGGTGCATCAGGAGAAGTGTGGCCAGCAGGGCGAGGGAGGGGATTCTGCCCCTCTGCTCTGCTCTGGTGAGACCCCACCTGGAGTGCTGCGTCCAGCTGTGGAGCCCTCAGCATCAGAAGGATATAGACTGGTTGGAGTGAGTCCAGAGGAGGCCACGGAGATGCTCCGAGGGCGGGAGCCCCTCTGCTCTGGGGACAGGCTGAGAGAGTTGGGCTTGTTCAGCCTGGAAAAGAGAAGGCTCCGGGGAGACCTTATAGCACCTTCCAGGGCCTGAAGGGGCTACAAGGAAGCTGGGGGGGGCTTTTTACAAGGGCCTGTAGTGACAGGACAAGGGGGAATGGGTTTAAATTGGAAGTGGGGAAGTTTAGATTGGATATCAGGAAGAAGTTCTTCCCGGAGAGAGTGGGGAGGCACTGGGACAGGTTGCCCAGAGAAGCTGTGGATGCCCCATCCCTGGAAGTGTCCAAGGCCAGGCTGGATGAGGCTTGGAGCAACCTGGTCTAGTGGAAGGTGTCCCTGCCCATGGCAGGGGGGTTGGAACTAGATGATCTTTATGGTCCCTTCCAACCCAAACCATTCTGTGATTCTATGTTTACGTTAGGTAGTAGTGATCAGTAGCAGTAGGTACGCGGGTAGTTGTTGATGTAGACAACTGTTGCTGTCTTCAGTTGAGCAGAGTACAAAAGATTCATGGGGATGATGGGAAATATATCTTTACTAGAATGACCTGACTGGTGAGCATTCGTGCATCATGCTGAAGACGTTGAACGAAGAGGACACTGAACAGGAGCCTTGGCTTATTGCCTTCTGGAAAGGTAATTTGGATTTTTCCAATGCTAGAAGAATCCTCTGGAATATTTATTGTAGAGGTTCACAGGAGTCACTTATTTTATCATCTTGTCTTACAGATTTTAGGAGGCGGTTCCTTTCTCTGCTTTCCTACCAGTTCAGCACATTCTCTCCTTCGTTGGCACTGAATGTTCTACAGAATAAAAATGTCAAACAGCCGCCACAGCCGCGTGAGTACGCTGCCACACAGCGTTCGGTTACTCGCAGTTTATGTCTATGGTACACGGGAATGTTTAGCAGAGTTGTCAGGGACATGCACTATATGACATCTCTTGTGAAGCGCCATGAATTGCACTTGCTCAGTTACTGTGTTTTGTTCCTATTACCCAGAAAAATGCTTGTATTTCTGAGTAAAAGCTAAGAGGACATTTTCTGCCACTGAAAATGGGTAGTGGTGTTTTTCTGGTGTGTGTGGGGGTTTTTTCCTGCTTTTTTGATTGAAAAGATTTAAGTAACACAGAATTAGAGGGCTCTTGACTGGAACAGCTAAAAGCATGACAAAACATAGATGGATGCTGACACCTGCCAAAGCCAGCATGTAATTAAAAGGGAAGCCTTGACTAGAAAGGGTCAGTAGGCAGAGTAGCTTGTGTAGGATGTTAGGAAGAACGCTGTCATCACAGATTTGGAAACTGGAAAGTGATGTCTTTCTAAGAGAGAGGCTTTGGTTCAGCTGCATGTTATTGGGCTCAGTGCAGCACTTGTGGGGGCAAACGCCCAGGCAGTATAAAAAAAGGGGCCAGACAAGACAGTTCTAACAGTCACTTCTGGCTTAAAACCAAATTGCTGTTTCTTCAGTATGCCTAACAGGGGGGAATTCTCTTGAGAAAACCTGCTAATCTGTCTTGGTGAAAGAGTTTTGGTTGCTACTACAAGGTAACAAAGCTCGTCAACAGTAAAAGCAGCATAAGATAGTTAAATACTGGGCAAACTGGGGTTTCTCGACCCTCACTGTTTTCAGTCTCACTGGCACCTTTGGGTTGACATGCTGGATGTGTGTCTGAAAAGCCTCTGAATAACCAAGCCAGTCTGAATAGCAGTGCTGTGCCTAGTGTGTTGGGAAGTGAACCTGTGGGACAGCAGTTGGCCTCTACTCAGTGATGTGGGAACTTGATCGATACCGAGATCCTGGGTGGCTACGAAGAACAGTCTTGACTTTGGTGTCTTTTTATTGCGTCCGTCAGCTATCAGCCGTGCTGAATTAGAATCGGTTTTCATTCCGTATGACCTGAAGAGATTGGAGATGTACTCTCGCAACATGGTGGACTATCATCTCATCATGGATATGGTACCTGCCGTTGCCAGGATGTTCTTTCTCAACCAGATGGGTGATATCTCTCTCTCTGCTGCACAGTCGGTTCGTATCACTGTGACAACAACCCATGCTTCACCTCTCTCTGTATGTGTGTTTGGAATAGTTTCTATGTCATCTTTAAAAAAACAGACCTTGCTTCACTTAATTGCTTCTTTTGTAGTCCTCTCCATGATTTCTCCTCTTGCTTGTGGTGTTTTTGCACCTTTAGCACTTGCTTTGAATAAAATTTGTGGGGATCATATTCTGTTGTGTGTTCGGTGAAGTACTCCATGTATTTATCATACAGTGTAAACTGTGGCTTACAGACCCCCCCCAAATCTTCTGGCTCTTGAACTGTACTTCATTCATCTGTATGAAGTATGGAATGGCACCTGCCATCTACAGAATAATTTAGGGGTGTTCCAGTGCATCTGAGCAAAGCTTCAGCTTGTACCAGGGAAGCCTTGTGTTACCTGAGTAGAGCAAGTACGTGGAAAAACCTAAGGACTGTAGAGGATATTATGTACATGTATTTGCTCTAAAAGCCTCTGTGAATGAAATATGTGTCATTTCCTCAGGCCCTTTTTCTGGGGATTGGCCTACAGCATAAATCTCTGGAGCAACTGGAAAAGGAGGTGGAACTGCCCAGCAGTCAGATGATGGGTCTCTTCAACAGAATCATCCGCAAAGTAGTTCAGGTAATAGCACATGACGAGTTTTGTCTTGGTTGTATTGGACCAAAGTGTGATTCCAGTACTGAGCCTGGCACTAACAGAAAGCTGAATCAGAACTGAGTAGCATAGAATCACAGAACGGTTTG